GAGGGTGGAGGGGTGCTGGGATGTGGGGGGACGCGGGGGCTGCTCTAATTCCATTTCAACACTTTCTGGTCAGCCAATTCCGGGGCAGCCCCCGCAGTCCTTCCCGGCCTCCCACAGCCCCCTGGGAGAGGGAACCAATGGCCCCTCCCCTTTCATGGGCATCAGAGGCCCCCCCCCTCAACCAATCAAGACCCACACTTGGGGCAACAACATCCCAAGCCCTCCTCCCATCCCCCACCTGTTTGGAGTCAGGCTCTTGACTGGAATCAGACGCGCCCCCTCACTTGCAGTCCCCCAACTTCTATGGACCAACCCCCTCCCCTATTGGGGGGTCAGGTGCCCGGACCGCTGCACACACACACTTTTGGAGGAACCCCCGAGCCTTTCCTCACTCGGGCCCAGCCCCCCTCCCACTCCTCGCAATGTGGCTTTCGGCCGCCTCCAAGCTCCCCTGCCCAGGGAGGGAGGACGCCCGAGTGGACCCTCGCCCAGCCGGCGGCCCCGGCCCTCTCACCCGCGCGGGGGTCAGCAGGATCTCGGCGGCCGGGCCCGCGGCCGGGGCCGCGGCCGGCGCCTTGTCGGCCTTGACGCCCGTCACGGCGGGCTGGAAGCTGATCTTGACCATGGCTGCGCTCAACGTTCGTCAGCCCGCAGCCTCTGCCGAGTAGCCGCCGCTCCGCGCGCAGCAGACGCCGGAAGTTTGAAGGCCCCGCCTCCAGCCCCGCCTCTAGCCCCGCCCCCAAGCCAAGCCCCGCCCCTCCGGGCCGGCGGCGCCCCCTGCTGGGTGAGGGCGGCGCACGTGGGGAGCTGGGGACCCTCAAGCAGCCAGCCCGTTGCCCCACCCAGCCAACCAACTACCCACCCAGCCAACCAACCAAATCAACCACCCTCACAGTCATTCACTCTCCGCATCCACTCACTCATTCACTCACTAGCTCCCTCCCTCCCTCCCTCCCTCCATCATCCATCCAACCACCCACCCGCTCATTCATCCTGCATAGACAGACCCACTTCCAGGACTTAACCCTTTCTATCATCTCCCACAGCACAGTCTCTATTCAGAATTTACCAAGCAAATCTCAGGGTCCAGACAATTCCCCACCTACCCCCACCCCACTCAAACCCCTCTCTTTGGAAAAGCTCCTCCCGCCACCCTTCCTTCCACTTGCCCTTGGCTCAATCTTGCGCCCTAAAGTGCTTTGTACACCTTCCATCCTCCTCCACCCTTCATTCCTGCAGAACCTTGCAGAGGGGTCTCTGGATCGGTCCTCTCCCGCAGCCGAGTGCAGAAAGTGGAGGCCTCTGTTACCAGTCGACCCCCTCAGCCCTCCCCATATCTCACTCACCCAGGAGAATCGTAGACTGTGGTTGGCAAGTCTCCAAGTTGGTATCTGTACCCTGAAAGAATCGTAGGAATTGGAAGGGGACCAATTTCTGTTGTAGGGGCTCATCTCTGGGCACCCCAGTTGAGGGTCTTAGCTCACTCTCCCTGGTGGAGGGCTGCTGGGAGAACCCAGCATCCGACCTTGTGCTGAGCTTGGACTGACCATGGAGGACAAAGAGTCTGAGAGCCCCCCACCCCCCACCCCAACCCCCAGCTGCCCAGACCTGTCTCCTCAGGTCTTGTGGGGCTGCCCCGAGCCTCTGTGTCCATGGTCCAGCCCTGCACCTCCTTGATTATCTTGACTCAGATCTTGGGGGGCCTTGAGGACAGACAGGCAGGAAGAAGGGCCAGCTGAGGGACTGGGGGCTTTGGAAGGAGATGGGTGAAGGGCCTGGTTTGCATGAAGGCCGGAGAGGACGGTGGCAGAACAGAGAGGAGCTCAGGTCCTCCTGCTGTCTGCCTATTCCCCACACACTTGACTCTGCTCCTCTTCATCACAGCCCCTGGCCCCTGGGACACAAACATTGCCCACATGTCAGTGACTAGACCCAGGGGCACAGACCTATTGTCAGTGGGCACCGAATTGCTTCGACTCATGGTGACCCTGAGTTACCGAGTAGAACTTCATAGGTTCCCAGGGCCGGGCTCTTTCTGAAGCAGCTCACCAGCCTTCAGAGGTGCTTCTGGTGAGTTTGAACCGCCAACCTTAGGAGTTAGGAGTTTGGAGCCTTCACTCTCGGAGCCATCAGGCTCATGGCTGTGTTCCAGCTGTGAACATCTGGACAAGCACTGGCATAGTCCGTCTGGCTTCTTCAGTTGAGCCGAGGGCTCTCTATGCCTCATCTACTGCTGGGCGGCCCCAGCACCCTGCTGGAAGGCTTGGAGGTTAGTTATTTTTATAAGAATATTAAGATGTTGTCGGTTAAAGGATTTACCCTGAGGGCAGTGGGTTTGATCTGGGGGTTATGGAGTTGGTGCCAACTCATAAGGACTCTATAGGACCCTGTAGGGCAGAATAAAATGCCCGTGTGTTTTCCAAAGATGTGATCTATGGAAGATGACTGTCTCCTCTTTTGCCCATGAAATGGTTGGTGGGTTTGAACCACCAACCTTTTGGTTAGCAGCTGAGCATTTAAGTGCTACCCCACTAACAAAAACCAAGCCCAAACACACCCAAATAACAATCTCACACACATTTCCGTCAAGTGGATTCTGACTTGCAGATCCTCTCACGGGATTCCGAGGCTGTCACTCTCCGTAGGCGCAGATCGCCTCAGCTTTCTCCCAGGAAATGGAGAGCAGTTCCACTTTTCTTACTTATTTTTCCTGTTTTAGAAAACAAGAATTTTATGTATACGGGCTGATTTTCAGAAATAGATTGCCAGGCCCTTCCACCTGATGTTTCTTAGTCCAGTGTCTCTGCGGACACCTGTCCACTATGGGTAAGCTGGCTGCTCTATGCAGTGCTGGGGCCTTGCTTCCAGCGTCATGCGATTCTTGTGGCCAGGGCCCGTCAAGTCTGTTCCAACTCATAGGGACCTCTCTGGACAGCGGAACAAAACCGCCTGCCCTGTGCCATCCTCCCCTTTGTCTGTCCCTTTGAGCCCATGGATGCAGTCACTGTCAATCCACCTTGTTGACGGTCTTCCTCTTTGTCACTGCCCCTCCACCAGGCATGATGTCCGTCTCCAGGGACTGGGCTCTCCTGACAACATGTCCAAAGTGTGTGCGATGAAATCATGCCATCGCTACCTCTAGGGAGCACTCTGGCTGTACTTTTTCCAAGACAGACTTGTTTGTTCTTCGGGATCCATCATCAGAGCAACATGCAAATGACTACAATATGATGAACCGGCCGGGGGCATATAGACATGGGCGTAGGCATCCACTGCTGGGCCTGTAGACCTGGGCATTGGACTTGGTTTGGATGAGTCTTAGTCACCTCATGGCAGCACAGCTGTGCTCCGGACAGGAGCCCTCTCAGTGCTCAGGCACGGGTGGGCCCCTGGGGGAAGAGCAAGCCCTGTACCGTGTGCGGCCGGCCCTTTCATGTCCTCGTCTGACCACACACAAGGTCTTAGATATCATCCACAGAGTTGACTTTGTGATATTACTTGTGGATGGAAAGTGATTCTTTGGAGAGACGTGAGCACAGTGATTCAGAGTCCAAAATCCAGAGAGCCACACCTTGGGGTTGAATCTCCAGCGCCACCACTTACTAGCTCAGCAGTCTCCCCAAAGGAGTGCCTGACTCTCTCCAGGTGTGGTCGTTACATAATTCCATGTCAACTCGAAGATATACAAAAGTGTAGGGGTGGGTTTCAACCTATCAGCCTGATGATGCCTCCTTGTGGGCATGGCTTTCTCAGAAGGAGAGTCCTGGGAACCTCCCCCTCTCTCTCTGCCTTCACCCTCCTGCTAGCAGACCCTGATTACTTTAGAGCCACCACCATTGGATCCACACAACTTTACACCCACCAGCCTGTGATCTTCCCACGTTCTGCATCGTTGCATGTGGCTGTGTGAGTCTGAAGAAGGACTTATGGACTAGCATCGGACTTAAGGACTTGAGTTGGACTGGGCTGGGGCGTTTTCTCCATAAAATAATTACTTCTTGATATAAAGCTCTCTCTGACCCATATCTGAGTGTCACTGGATTCGTTTCTCCAGTCAACCTGGCCTAACACACCAGGTATCTGGGCCTCAGAAGAGACACTGTCATAAGAGACACTGGACATCTGACCCTGGGCAGCCATCCAAACCTCGGTTGTGTGAACACTGCTCTCCACGGTGAAAAGGGAAGACCAAGGGAGAACTGACACGCTCGGTTTAAGGTGTTGGCAAAGAGTACTGAATATGCCATGGACTGCCAAAGAACCAAGCAATCTGTTGGGGAGGAAGCAAAGCAAGGCTCCTTAGAAGCAAGGATGGCGGGATTTTGTCTCATTTACTGTGGTCGTTACATAATTTCATGTCAACTTGAGGATATTAAGAGTGTAGTGGGGTGGAGTCTAGTCTGTCAATCAGGTCACAGCCTGAAGATGCCTCCTTGTGACCATGGCCTTCTCTTGAGGATTCTGGGAACTTCCTCTGTTTCTTCCTGGCGGAGGGCCACACTCTGTCTCTCTCTGCTTTCACTCTCCTGTGGACAAGCTGCGTGGAGCCACATTGAAGAGACACTCAGAGAGCTGGAGAAGCCACGTGGAGACCCACACCTGCGATGAGATGCTTCCACTGCCACTGTATCCACAAGACCTTTCACCCACTGCCCTGTGAACTTCCTGCACTCGGGGTCATTGCATGTGCTGTGTTGAGTCTGAAGAGGAATTTATGGACTAGTATCAGACAGTTGGGCTAATATCCGACTTACGGACTTGATCTGGACTAGGCAGGGATGTTCTTAATATACAATTACTCGTTGATATAAAGCTCTCTCTCTTACACATAGATGTGTATCCTTGGATTTTTTTCTCTAGTCAATCCCGTCTAGCACACTTACTTTGGACCTGTTATCAGGAAGGACCAATCCCTGGGGAAGGACATTGTGCATGGTCGCAGAGGACCAACAAGAAAGAAAGACCCTTAATAAGACAGGCTGACATGATGGCTGCTACAATGGGCTCAAACAAGCCTGCTGTGGTGAGGATGGCACGGGACTGGGCAATGTTTCATTCGGTTATGTGTGTGTATATATATATATATATTTATATGTGTGTGTAATTCATATATGTATATCTTATATGCATGATCTATGCCACCATGACTTGGAGCCAATTTGATGACATCTAACAATATCCTCCATGTATATCCATGCGGTTAGGAACACAATGAGTAAAAACTTCCCTCCGTCATAGCAACCGCAAGTGTAGCAGTCTGAGGAATGTATTTTATGACCTATGAAAAATACAGCACAGCATTTCATCGAGGGTATAAAGCTGACCTAAATGGAGAAAGAAAATGCGTTTTGCCTGGACAGGAAGATGACGAAATGTCACAGACACAGTAATTTAATTTCATGCAATGAAGTTAATGTGTGATGTTTCTTAAAAGCTCACAAGTTAAAGAAAATCTGATTAAAAGCTGAATGGGTTGTTGCAAACAAGCAGAAGAGGCGTTCCGTAATTGGGCTTGAGAAGCGAATGCATTACCATTGCCAAGAAGATTGAAAGAAAGGGAAAAAGTAATGATGACTCAGAGATTTCGATGTAACCAAATTAACAGTGCTAGAAGAAAATATTCATGAATAGAAAGCTTCA